GGCAGCTGCTGGTTCGCTACCTGGGCGCGGGCACTGCAGCACCAAAGCGCATCTTTCACCTATCAGCCTTTCGCCACCCGCACCGCCTGCTGCTGTCGCTGCGCTGGGAGGCTGCCTTTGCTATGGTCCCCATTGACCACCATGTGCCTAGCTTGAATGCGCCTGATGGCCAAGACCTCAGCTCTAGGCATCTTCATAAACGTCAGGAGCTGAACAGCAACCCTTTGCACCTTCAGGTATCTTCCAGCAGCCCCTTCACTTCCAATTCCGCCCCCTCAACCTTCCTGATTACACTTAGAAGCTAACTTACTTGGCCTCTTGGTGATCCTGTCCCCTCAGTGGCCCCATCTGCTTCTCTGATCCCACTCTAGGAAGACCCCTTAGCTTCCTAGCCTTGCCTGACCAGCTTCTGGTGTCCCCAGGTGGTGAGCAGCCCAAAGCCCACGGTTCCAGAGACAGGAGCCGTGCTGCTGATTGGGCTACAGCTCTGGAATGCCCAGTGGGATCCGCTAGCAGGAGCCTTGAAGGATGGTCCCACCAGCCAGCCCAGTCCTCTGCCTCCAGTCAGCGTCAGCACCCAGGCCCGGGACACCAATGACCTGCCACCCACTGCCGGCCTGGCTGTATATTCCTGTCCTGTGTACATGGAAGGGCCCCTGGGCACTGCTAGGCTGCACAGCAAGAATATCCTGATGTACCTGCCCCTGCCCACAAAGCTCAGCCCTGCCATCTGTGTTCAACGGAGAGTCCATGTGTGCAGCCCACCCTTGTCCTAAGCCCTCAACCAAAATAACCACCCTTGTCCTAAGCCCTCAACCAAAATAAAGTTGGAGTTATTCAGTGAAAGAGTTCTGAGATTTACAAGGAGTGTCCGTGTGGACACACTGAGGGTGTGACACACTGAGGGCAAAGCAGTGTGCACAACAGAGGAGAGATGTGTTCACAAGAAGGTAGAAGAAAGAGGGTGTGTGCCTGGCAACAGAAAGGGTAGTGTGGGGACTGTGAAGAAAGGGGCCTGGGATTGGTCATGCCTACGCAGATCTTGGGATGGCTAACACGCAGGATCCCGAGTCCTTCCCCAGCTCTCTACTGTGGTCTCAGCATTTGTGCTATATCCACAGTGGGTATTTTTAAAGGGATAACATTAGAACTCAAAATGATTAAGGCACTTAGTGGTATTATTGAGACAGACCCAATCCTGCCCTACCAGTCATTGCTTCCTCTGCGATGGATTCTGAGTGAGCCATACACCCAAAAAAAAAGCAAAATAAGATACAAGGTCCTATATCTGTTCAACAATTGAGTGCCCCTTTGAACCAGGTGCTCTTCCAGGCACTAATGAGGTTGTTCTAATAGAGACAGACAATAAAAGGCCAACACAGGCCGGCCCGTGTGGCTCAGTGGTTGAACATCAACCCATGCACTAAGAGGTCACCAGTTCGATTCCCCGTCAGGTTGTGCCCAGTAGGAGGCAGCTGATAGATGTTACTTTCTCATCAATGTTTCTCTCCCTCTCTCCCTTTCCCTTCCTCTCTCTAAAAATCAATAAAAACACTTTTAAAAAGGCCAACATATAAATAAGTTGAATTTGATGATTTTTAAGTGCTATAAGGAAAATAAAGTAGGCTGACATGTTAGAGGGCAATTAGAGGGGAGCAGTTAATACAGTTTGGGTGGTATATTTAAAAGGAAGGATTGTTTCCGGACAGTGCTCGGTTGGTATAAAGGTTGTTTTTTTCTTTAAATGTCTTTTTAAAAATATATTTTTATTGATTTCAGAGAGGAAGGGAAAGGGGGAGAGAGAGATAGAAACATCAATGATGAGAGAGAATCATTGATCGGCTGCACACCCCACACTGGGGATCGAGCCCGCAATGTGGGCATGTGTCCTGACCAGGAATTGAACTGCAACCTCCTGGTTCATAGGTTGATGCTCAATCACTGAGCCACACCGGCTGGGCAGGTACAAAGATCTTGAGGCAAAGCAAGCCTGGGGTGTTCAAGGACCAGAACATGTAGCTGGAGCATGGTCAGTGAGGGGCAGAGTGAGCCAAGAGGATGGAAAGGTATGGAGAGGGGGGATCACACAGAGCTTTTTCATGGCAATGTACTTGTATTTTCTAAAAGCATAAGGAGAAATCTATCGGAGAGTATTAGGTGGGAGATGACATGATCTAATCCGAATTTTTCAAAGATGACCCTGGCTGTTCTGTGGTGGGAGAAAATCCAGGTAACAAGGAGGAAAATTTGTTTGAAGGCTCTTGAAGTAATTCAAGTGAGAGAAGATAATTTTGGACAAGGGTCATAACAGTGGAGACGAAGAATGAATGTATTTAGGAAATATTCTGGAGGCAAAGCCAGCAGGACTTGCTGATGGGTTAGATGTGAAGAGCGAGGGAAGAGGACAAATCTGGGATGAATCCTAGATTTTAGGTGTGAGCAACTGGGTGGATCGTGATGTTATTAACTGAGATGGGCAATCTGAGGGAGAACAGGTTAGGAGTTAGGAATTGAGTTCTACTTTGATACGTTGAGTTATTAATAGTTGTGTGATTACATACTATCCCAGGGCAAACTTCTCAGGTAAAAATTGGGTTAAAGTATGGCAAAGCTAAAGGCCTACATGGGTGTCCTCTCCTTGCCCCTAGCACCAAAATTTACCAGGTACAACTCATCTCCCTCTGGCTAGGATAAGCTACATGGTAGGAGGAAATGCAAATCAAGTATGTAATGAGGGTCAGTGCACAACCTCTTCACAGTCACCCACTCACTAGTGACTGTGGTGCAACTGATGCCTTTGAACAAGAGACGAAACAGAGAGCAAAAGCCTCCACTTTCCTCAGAAGCCATTCCCTTTTCTTTCCTGTGGTCAACCAGAGGCATGCCTGTTCCTCCAGGAAAGGAGATTAGCAGAATATTGAAGAAGTCCTTTTGGATAAATGAACTCTACCCATGTTTACCATCACTACTATTTACCCTCCAGTGGGAGCAAAGAGTGATGAGGTACCTGTAAAACTATCTGAAATTGGTTGGTACAGAATATTTTCTGCAAATCCACACCAATCTGAAGTTCATTCTTGAATTATGCCCAACCCAAGTCAATTAGAGGTTATTAGTATAGTATTTGGACTACTGTGTAAACATGTTCCAGATTTGACAATATCAGTCTGCCAGATAAATTAAAATCCCATTAAGAAATTCAAGTCCCAAACAATGGAAGGAAGTAGGAAGTGAGACATAGAACAAAGGGGAGAAATATGTGCGTCCTGTCCCAGTGGATTGGGGTAGATGGAGTAGAGGCAAGAGAAGTGGTACAAAATCAACATGACCAGGGACCTTGGGACAGAGTAGTACAATGACATACTAGGACTAAAGAGGCTTTTGCCCTTTTGCCTCCTGGGGCTTTAGAAGGGAACTGCTTTGTAGCCCAGACTTAGCGAGGCCCCAGGAGCATCACGAGGGCAGAGCCGCATGGTCAGGAAGAGGTGTCTTGATTCCTATATGGTGCGGTTGCTGAGTAGAGATCCTTTAAGGCTCAATGGAGTAGGAGGCAGAAAATCACTGTGTTGGAACTGTTGTTGCAAGGAGGACAAATTAGCAAGGGGGGTGGGGGGGAGCGGGCCCTGACAGCTGAAAAAGACAAGACGGATTCATCAGCCTTAGAAGCAAATGTTGGCAGAATGCCCAGGTATGATACTGGGCCAACTGTATCCAGAAGATTCCAGCTTGTGCACACCCAAGAATCAATATTAGGCCAGGGAACCCCTTCCTTCTGATATCGAAATGCCCTTCCCTTTACACCCAGATGACTCTTGCAGAGAAGCAGAGGTAGAATGGCAGAATTTGAGTTTTTGAGTATTTATTTCAAAAAGGATAGATGAAACCTAGAGACTGAATTAAATTTATTTCTAGCTTTTCCACTCTTTGATGGAGTGTAGGATGGAAGTGAGACTTGTAAAGAAAATCAGTAATTGAGAAAGGAGCTGAATTTTATTTGCATATCCAAATTGATGAGGAAATTTGTGCCCGGCTTGTCCACTATATGCACTAATAATTTAAAGACCAAAAATGCCATTGACTAGCACACTGTGGCTCACCTGAAACTAATTTATTTCTGCAGCTTCCTCTTAACAGGGTCTTTCATAGAGCAAAGGTTTTTCATTTTGATGCAGTACAATTTATTCGTTTTCTTTTATAGATCACTAGAGGCCTGGTGCATGAATTTGTGTACAGGTAGAGTCTGGCCGGCCTGCCCTGATCAGGGTCTATCGAGCAGGACTGGACAGGGGGAGGGGAAGCAGGAGGTTGGCCAGCTGGCCCTGCTCCCAATCACCCCCCCCTCCCAATCAGGGGTGGGGTCAGCTGAGGGGAGGGGCTGTAGGTGGTTGGCTGGCCCAGCTCCCCCTGTTGAACTCCTGGTTGAGGGGACATATTAGGCTTTTATTATATAGATCATGCTTCCAATGTCAAGTTTAAAGCTTGTTGCCTAACCATAGATCTCCTGTTTTTTTCTTTTCTTTTTTAATTTTAAAGAGGAAGGGAGAGGGAGAGGAATAGAAACATCAATGATGAGAAATAATCATTGATCGGCTGCCTCCTGCACACCCCCTACTGGGGATTGAACCTGCAACCCAGGCATGTGCCCTGACAGGGAATGGAACTGTGACCTTTGTCTTAGCCATGTTATAGGGAATAATGGAACATACTTACACCAGAGTATTAACAATGTAGAACAGCGGTTCTCAACCTGTGGGTCGCGACCCCTTTGGGGGTCGAACGACCCTTTCACAGGGGTCGCCTAAGACCATCAGAAAACACATATATAATTACATATTGTTTTTGTGATTAATCACTATGCTTTAATTATGTTCAATTTGTAACAATGGAATTGGGGGGTCACCACAACATGAGGAACTGTATTAAAGGGTCGCGGCATTAGGAAGGTTGAGAACCACTGATGTAGAAGGAGCCTTGAAGGCCAAAAAGACTGAGGCAATCAGTGAGATTCCCAAGAGGTGTATTAGTAAATAGTAAGCTGGGTGTCCCCACTTAATCAAGAACATACCATCTTGTGAATATGAGAAGCAAAAGACCTAGAGAATGATAGAGACCTAAACGCTAACATCCTGAAGTTCCAGAACCAATGCCCACAGACACTAACCTTCAGGTTTCTACTGATATAGGAAGGAAATTCTAGTATAAGACATTATTTAGTGGCATTTTTTTTCTTGTCACAACCAAAATGTAACTGGTAAAATAAGCATCTCAACTTCCTGATGTGAACACTCCCCCCACCACACCATTAAGATTAAAATTAATGGCACAGGTGGAAAGTGCTGACCCGTATTTGCTAAGGTAATTACATGTTTGAAGCACCCAAAGGAAACAAAAGTGTTTTGTGATCAAGAGTAACGTGGATAGAATGACCAGAGAAGATCTATTAGCCAGGATATATAATGCTAACTGCCCTGAATCTCCCAAAATTCACTAATTTATTGCAGTAGAGGTTTACTCTTTGTTCAAAGTTCAATGTGGATGTTTTTAGTCAAGCAGCTTTCCTCCCAAAGAGTGACTCAGATATCTCAACCTCTTCTATGCTGTTACTCAATCACCTTCAAACATGTGCTACAAGGTCACCCTGTAAGGTGGAGGAGGGGGTAGTACAATAAAGAGAAGGTTCATCTGCTCTTTAACTGCCTTGGTCTGGTGTGGGAGGCCCTGGGCTTTGAAGAGTTGAGCTGAAGGCATTCTCACCTTTTGGCCAGAAATACCCCCAAGGTAGGGCTATGCCCAAGCCTTGGGTTCAGTCAACATGACTTAAAGAAAGCCATGACGCCTTCCCTGGCAGGGGGCCTCTCACAGTCTGGTAGTGAAACATCTCTCCTACTTCCCTTCCGTTGACGAGGACCACTCACACTGCCCCACCTTGATGCGATGAGCAGGGAAATGGAGTTTAACTGTCCAGGGAAAGGACATTCTGGTGAGCACCTAGCCAGTTTCTTCCACAGAAGGTGATGTTGGTGTGAAGATCTGGAAGATGAAAATGAGCTCATCAGGGAGAGCACTCTAGGAAGATGGAGCAGCATGCACAAAGACCCAGAGCAGAAAAGGCTTAGAATGTTGGGAGGAATGAAAAGAAACCCCGTGTGGCTGGGGTTTCGTGAGGAAGGAGTGGGTTAAGATGCAGTTGGAGAGGGAGGCCTGGGCAAGATCACACAGGGACTGGGAATGAAGCTGTCTTTTGTTTTCAGAGCAACGAGCATCCATTGAAGAATTTTAAGCAGAGAACTGACAAATCTGATTTACATTTAAAAAAGATCACTTGGCTGTGTGCAAAATGAACTGCTTTGGAGGGGTAGGAGGGAGACCAGTAAGGTGGATATTGCAGTTTTGTCAAATATCCTAGAACCAGGTGGCCAGTCTGAGAAGTCACCGGGAAGGAGGGCAACATGGGGACAAAAAGGTCTAATTACAAGTCTCTTAAAAGCTTTAAGGGCTTTGTGCGATTACAGAAATGGTTGAGTGTTTGGAGCTGAGTTGTGTCTCTGCCAAGATCATGTTTCTTTTGGAACTGTATTCTCTTAGGACTATGTTACAGGAACAAAAGCTGGAGCTCACCAATATCTGCAGAAGCAATAAGTCTCTCAAGGGGATGCTAATAAGCCTAGTACGCAAATCCAACTTTATTCTTATCTCTCAGCCCTCTAAACTTGTCTCATTTGGGGGAACTCTTGCCCTGTGCTGGAAAAGAGCTGTAGCAAGCCTGTGACTTTTCAGCTCATTCTTAGTTGATAGTCTTGTGCTCATTTTAAGATACAAACACAAATCCAAGTGATTAGAATGTTTAATCCTATGCAACAATAATCAATCTGCACCTGCTGTAGCTATAACTATTTTCCCTTCCCAACTCTGTTCCACTCAAGTCCAAGAGCTTGCTATGGGGAAGGACAAAATAATCTCTGCTCTTTTCCACCTAATAGCTGCTGATTGCTTTGGGCCCAAGTGCAGAGAAGTCAGGGAATAAAACAGTTCTTGATTGACTGGTGGTTCTGTGCCCTATGGACTAGGCAGGTATTTAAAGGGGGCATATCACTGTCCCCTTGACCCTGGTGATGCAGCTTTATTTTGGGGGGTCTCCTGCAACTTCCCCCTCAGTCCACATGGCACACTCCTAGCTTCTTGTGTTGAGGTCTCCTTGCCTCTTCCAATGGTCCTATTGGACAGGACCCAAGACCACCCATGCATCCCTCTCCTGCAAGGCGTGTAGGATACACTCATACATCAGGTGCCCCGGCAAATTCTGGGAATGCAGGCCAATGCAGAAGCAGCAGCACTCCTCTGGCTCCACACTGAAGCAGTCAGTGAGCCTCTGCTAGCCTTCTACATTTCCAGGGCAGGAGTCAGACTCCAGGCTCAGCATTTCTTGGCTGTAGGATTCAATACTTCAGGCGTCCCAAATGGTCCCAGTGGAATCCCCAATTAGATTTGGGGTAAAAGGGCAGAAACCAGCCTGTCCCTCAAGAAGTGGGTGGATTCTGACAGTCCAGGTGTACTCTGTCTCACAGTAACAAGCTCTCCAGAAAGCAATCTTACACTGGTCTCCTCCCATCCTATCCTCTTTCTGACCTTGTACCTTATGTGTGCTATTAATACTACTAGCAATCATGCTGCACTTTCCTAATTCATTCATTCCCTCTCATAGAAACAATATTCATGTTCTCCTTCCCTCAAAACTCCAACCCCCTTCCCCTACTCTCACTCTCAACTCAAAGTCTACTTCCCGCTTCACTGAGAAAAATCAAAGCAACCAGGAAAAACTTCTCAAGCCCTATCCTGACCTTCTGGATCAGAAACTGGGGGAGGGTCTAGCAATTTGCATTATAACAAGCCTTCCAGATAATCTACTTCACTCTAAAGTTTGAGAACTGCCATTCCCAACGGGGCAGACTCTCCCATTCTCATTTGCCTCTTACTACTCTTGCCACTCCTTCCCTCTGTTCTCAAAGTGTCCCTTAAACTGGTCTCATTGTTCTTTAAACAGCTGGCATACTGCTATTTCTTAAAGAAACATATATTGTTCTCTCTTCATTCTAGAATCTCAACATTAGACACTGAAATCCAGGCAAGGACTTGAACAAAAGCTTATCCTGAAGTTGATGATGGAGCAGGGGGGACCCAGGTCAGGCTCAGGGAGTGCTGCTTTCATAATCAGGGTGATTGATGGGCCACTACTGGGGGCTGGGCTGAGTTAGAGTGAACCTGGGGTCTGAGTCAGACCCAGAGAGATATTTACTCAGGTGGCCGGTGCCAGAATAGGCCAAGGGAGAAGTATAAGGGGGGAAAGCAAAAGAGGGAGGAGGGCAGACCCCAGCTGTTCTGTTGAGCATGCCAAGAAAACAGGGAAGATTGGTCAAGATCTAGGAATATAAGTAACATTTGGGGAAGAACATGGATATGGAGCTATAAAAGGTGATGTGCCCTACAGTGAGATGCCCTACTACCACACACATCCCTTGGACATTGTGGCTTATCTCTCATTATTCCAGGAGGCCCCTGGCCATGGAGCTGCCACAATACTCTCTCCCCAGTAATCCCTGGTGAGTCCTGACAAACTGGAGAGGACTGTCAGGATATTTTATCTTAGCTGCCCGGCAGCCAGCTCTACTCCCAAATGAGTCTCTAATAGGCTGTGTGAACCCTCAGCACTTTTGAAACTTATGCCATTATTCTCTCCTTCCCTTTGTCTGCAGATCTCCTGGATTGGTTTCCTCCTTCAAGAGGTTGGCACCTTTTCCATGCCAACTTCTACCACCATCCTAGACAACTGCAAAGTCCATACAGAAAACAGCCCACCCCCCACACAAACACCTGAGCCCTCAGTCCATCAACCAATCTTCAGGCAACCTCCCTTGAATGTCTCTCAGGCACTCACCACTGTTGCTGCACTCTGCCATCACCTGGAGCTGATCTGCTTCCAATAATTATAATTTAAGTATTCCAATTTCTGACCACAGCCTCCCATCCTCCCAGGTCACTTGTTCAGTTACTACCAGGGTAACAACCTACTCCTGTTTTCACTCTTCTACCTGTCCTACAAAATTCCATGACCCAGTATAGCAATCACTTACTTGCAAATAGTCTGAAATTCCTTTGCCTGCTTTCCTTTAATTTCTTTTGCACGGCAAGGTTCCAACTCTGGATGATCTTAGTGCTCAGTTTCTACAGCTACACCTAGATTCCTGAGTAGACAGACAGCCACACCATTGGCCTGATTGTATAACTATAAATTCATGAATAATACCTATACTAGTATATGTTCAAAAAGGCCCTCAACATTACTCAGCAGTCCTCATCCCACCACGATCCGATTTCTCATCTTAATAGACTTCTCAACAGCAATTGACAGCTGACAACCTTCCCATTCCTTCCATATTAAAAAAAAAACAAACAAAAACCACTCTCTTGCCCTGGCCAACTTAACTCCATTGGTTGAATCTAGTCCCATGCACCAACAGGTCATCAGGCACATACCCGGGTTGGTTGTGGGCTTTGATCCCTGGTAGGGGGTGTGCAGAAGGCAACTAATCAATATTTCTCTCTCCATCAATGTTTCTATCTCTCTCTCCTTCTCCCTTCCTCTCCCTAAAATCAATTTTAAAAAGCATATTAAAAACAATCCACTCTCCTGGATTTACTCCTCCATCTCTGGCCCAACTTTTTCATCTTGCCACTCTTACTGGTTCATTTCCAGTTACCCATCCACTAAATGCTCCTCAGTTCTATTCTGAGCCATTTTCTCTTCTCATTATCTTACTCTGGATACCTTACCTATTCTTAAAACTTTAATTCTTACCTCTGGGCTGCCAATTCCCAAATCCCTAGCACAGATCTCTCCTGAGACTTTTGTTTTGTTTGTTAATCCTCACCTGAGGATATTTTTTCCATTGGTCTTCAGAGAGTGGGAGGGAGAAAGGTAGGGAGAAAGGTAGAGAGAAACAACGAGGAGAGAGAGACACATCAATTGGTTGCCTCCTACAGCGACAGCCCAGGTACATACCCTTAACTGGGAATCAAACTCAAGACCCTTTGGTGCACTCAGGCCAACACTCCAAACACTGAGCAACACCAGCTAGGGCTCTCCTGAGATTTTTATGTCCTGCTTCCAAATGAACATCAGAGGTTCTTAAAACCCAACATTTTGAATGGCATCGCCAACTCACCCAGTTGTACAAGCCAGAAACCAGACTCACTTCAGATTCCTCTCTCATCAACCCTTAATATTTACCAACCCTATCTACTGAATTTCTCCCATTTGCCCACTTCTTCCATCATCACAGTGGCTTTATCTTGTGCCCCAAATGGGGGTTCCTGCAGCACTCCTGCTCCCATCAATCCCACTCAACTGGACCCTGTCATTCAAGTGACAAGCTCTGGGAATACCAAGATCAATGTAACTTGAAAAGACTGCAGCCTAACACACACAGCAATCACAATGCAGTGTTAAAATGGCGAAGGTGCACTCTTCAGGTAGTACTTTGAGTACTGCTTTGGGTGTGATGGACTAAAAAGCATGTAGGTTGTTTGGAGGCAGGAGTAAGGCTTTGCCAGTCAGCCAAGTATTCAGCAGAGAGAAGAGCACATGCATGGCTCTGTGCAGTATTTGCCGAATGGTTCACAGCCCCGCCTCCACACATTCCCTCTGGCCAACAGCCTGCCTCAAAGCCTCCATCCCCTTCTGGAGGCATCCAACTGGCTCAGAGCCCTGAAACCTGTGTTTCTTGGAAGTAGGTACAAGAGGTTGTGTTTCTATGCCTGGGCTCATGGCAGATTCCTTTTAGGAGCCACCGAAGATCTATCAACCCAGTTCCCCTTCTCCAGCACTAGCCTTCCTTGCCTATAGCTTTTCCTAGGACTTGCTGATCTGGACCTAGTGTTAGACAGAAATGACAGACCCATCTGCCAACGAACAGCCCAATGCCCCACCCCAATGTGGCATTAACTGATGGTTATTGATGAAAAGACCCAACTCCCCCACCACCACTCTCCAAGGATGGCTCAGACTCTATCAAGAATCTCTAAATATCCTACTAAATGAGCCCGTTGAAAGGCCTATATTGAGTTTTCTGAATCTTCCTCACGAAGAGGAATAGAACAAATCTATTCTTTACCCTTCAACTTCCAACCCAGTCCGGAGAAGGTCTTTAGAGAATGAGGCTTATAACACACAATAGCTACATCTGTAGTTTACTGAGCACCTCCTCAGTACCCAGCCCTGGCTATAGATCACCTCAGTTGGCCCACAACAATCCACGAGACAGGAATTCTACCATTTTCCAAATGAGGAATGTGACATTCAAAAATTAAATGACTCTCAGGCAGGCCCACCTGATTCTAAAATCTGTGCTCTCAGCCAGACACACACCAGGGGCCCACAGGACAACAACAGATGCTGGGCGTGTTTGGGTCATGTAGCCCCAAAGGTGGAGATGAGACTAGAGGGGAAAGAAGTGTTTAGTGCAGAGACAATCCAACGGTCCTGACTCAGAAACCCAGTTTGTTGTACTGAGCCAGGATGTTGATGCGCTACTAGTTGCCCAAGCCAAGAAGCAGACCAAAGGTGAGGGAGCAGCAGCTATGAGTAAGCAGAGGAAGCTGGTCTGCAGACAGAAGATCAGAAGAGAGAATGGAGACACCAGGACAGAAAGCCCATGTGGCTCCTGAGAGAAAAAAAAGAGTCAAACCCAGAGATGTCTTGAATTCCAAATAATCTAGTTTCCATGACACCTAGGGGATCCATAATTCCCAGATATCCCTGTGTTCTCACCATAAACTCCTTATTCTTTAGCCAGCCCAAGTGATTTTATGCTTCTTGCAACCAAGAATCCTTTAGCAGAGCGGGACTGAACCAGGGGTTTCATCACACTTCGTTCGTGGGATAGCGGAAGGGTGGTACCGGTCCTGGGTCACAGCCTGGCTGGTTATAGTCTTTGGAGTTCTGACAATGGAGTTCAAGACTTGCCTCCCCCTTCAAGGGGGGTCCAGAGGTCACCTGCGCTTGTAGAGACATGGCTGAAGCTTCAGGCCTGAGAGTTGAGCCTTGGGCCCCACTCGAGGGGGCCCAGTCTTTTCAAAATCAAACAAGAAGAAGTGGCTGTTGGTCAGGTCCTAGGAACAGAAAAGACCCAGTGAGCCCCAATTCCTCACCCCATTTTTTAAAAACACCTCCCTCTATGTCCCACCCTTGCTCAGAAAGCTTCCCAGGCTCTCCCACGAGTCGTGCCTTCAAGAAGCAAATGTCTGTGCCCATGGCCTTCTTCCTGAACACCATTACCCTGAAAAGGGCCACACATGAGACAAAAACAGGGACAGACTTCTTGGGCCCTCACCTTGGAGATGATCTTGAAGCCCAGTTTGGTCACGGCTCCCAAAAAGGCCCGAACATCTTCAAAGCGGCTGCTAACTTCAGCCACTTTCAGGAGACCCCTGAGAAGAATGGAAAGTTCTGTGTAAGTGCAGACACACGCATGTGCACATGTACATGCACCTGTGTCCTGGAGGCTCTTACCCGGGCTTCAGCACTCGGTTTGCCTCCTCTAGGAAGTCCCTGATGTTGGTTCCCATCAGCGAAAGGCAGAACACAGCCACATCTACAGACTCATCCTCCAGAGGCACCTGTGGGTAGTGGGGGTGGTGTATGAGGCGCACAATTTGGGGAGGAGAAGGCCAGCAGCGAGTGGTAGGTTGGACACCAGGATGGGGGTGTGGGCAGGGAGGAAGGGGGAGTGTTAGAGATTAGCACATGCAGGCTGGGCTTAGAACACAGGCCAGACACAGAGAGGGATACAGGGGTTTACCTGGGCCATGTCACATACAGTGACCCTGGGGTCCAGAGAGGCCAAGTCAAAGCAGTGCACCGGGTTCCGGATACTTGAAGCCAGGCGGCAGTCCCCACAGCCAAAGTCAGCTACCACCAGGGACGCAGGCCTGGGAGTGGAGGGGAGGGATCACTCACTGGTCTAGTCTGAGCCCATGATCGACCAACATCGGCTTTCACAGTGCCCAACCCCATTCACCGCTGGCGAAGATCCCTGGCGATGCGGTCCACTGGCTGTAGCGGCCACTTCTTGACTTGGCTCTGGAAGCCGCGGTGGTAGAGGAGGAAGGCCTCAGGGTCTTCCTGGAAGAGGCGTTGTGCAGCACTGCTGGGCCCTGAGTACAGCTGTTCATTGAGGTAGCGAAATCGAGCACCATCTAGCCGCTGTGCCATGCGGGCTCGCAGAGCTCCTGCCCGAGCCTCGTGGTCATCTTGAGTGGGGGCAGGAGGCACCTCTGTCTCCTCTGTGGGGGCTGTGACTTTGGCTGGGTCTGGCGGCTGAGGTGGCCGAAACTTGTTCTTGTGTCTACGCTTGTTCTTCTGCCGGTTCCGCCACTGCTTGCGACTCAAGGCATGGGGAGTTTGGGGGGAAGTGGCCACAGAGCTTGGCTTGGATGAGTCATCTGTAGCACTACTCTTCCAAGCTTTGGGACCTGTCGGGGGAAGATGGAAAGGCATATTTGGGGCAAGATCCACTGAACTCAGAGGCTTGGCAAATTCATCCTGGCCAACAAAGAGACTGTGGCCTGGATGAAAGTACTTCTAACTGCCCAACCTCACACCTGATGATGGGAAGTAACCTCCTCGGCCCACTCGGTCATATGTAAGATCAGACAATCCCCCTCCCTGTCCCCCACACACATATGCATCCACTAATACCTGTTTGGTCAACACTGTCCAGGGCAGGGTTTGAAGGCGCCTGTTTCTGGCATTTCCCCTTTCTTTTTTCTTCTGCAGCAGAATCACTTTCAAGAGCCCTTTTGCGGCACTTCTTCTTTTTTACTTCCTTTTCCTCAGAATCACTGCCAGGTAGGCCTTGTTTTTGATGCTGCTTCTTCCTTTTCTCCTCTACTTCAGTAGAAACACTGGCCAATGAGGCCTTTTTGGGGCGTTTCTTTTTCCTTTCCACCACTTCCTCCTCCTCAGAGTCACTGCCAGGTAGGCTGGGGAGTTGTTGGGAAAGAGATGCTGCCTCCAGGGCACGTAGTGTGGCCAAGAGCTGTCGGCGCTTGGAGCCCTGGAGGGGAAAGAAGGGATGAAAGCAGGTTTGGCTCAGTGGGTAGAGCGTGGGCCTGTGGACTGAAGGGTCCTGGGTTCTATTCCAGTCCAGGGCACATGCACAGGTTTCAGGCTCAATCCCCAGTAGAGGGTGTGCAGGAGGCAGACAATCAATGATTCTCTCTAATCATTGATGTTTCTATCTCTCTCCCTCTCCATTCCTCTCTGAAATCAATAAACATATACTTATGTAAAAAAGAAGGGATGAAAGCAGGGACGAGGAGAATGGATGGGACCTGGGGAACGAGAAGGGAGAGACAGGGACCTGACTCAAACACTGGCAAAAGTATCTGGATTATTCCCAGTTAAGGAGCTTGTCACGAAGCATATCAGACCCTGAAGAACTTTCAAGTTGTCACCCCCACCTTTGGGAGGCTGGAAGACAGAGAAACCACCCATCCCACTCTCTTCAATGTTCAGAGGAGGTACTGGGGTTCCCCAGAGGAATGTGGTAAAGTCACAAGCAACAGGACCAAGGCCAGAGACCGGGAGTTCCAACCCTCCGTCTCAGGTGTTTGCCTCCAGCTGGTAAAAGGCAGAAGGTTTCTGACAAGAGCGACACCTGTTTAAAACGACTCTAGCCGCAGTATAGAGGACTGAAGGAGACAAGCGGCAGACAGGGGGACCAGTGGTCTGGATTATAGCAATGGGTTGCGGGAATGAAGGAGGCATAAAGCAGACAGATTCTATGCTGGAAGCTCACAGAGAGTAGGAGGAGCCTGAAAAGTACTGCTGCCTTCACATCAGCAGAAGCTTAAAGGAGAAGGTCTATTGTCTGGGGGGCCTTCGGGATTGAAGTCCCACCGGGCAGTCTCAGCCCAGGCACTTAACTGGGAGGTGCTTAGTAGCCCCGCCACACCACCTTTGTACAGACAACCCTTCCTTCACTGTCATTCCCTCGCCCTCGCTCAAGTCCAGTCTCCACACTGAAGGAATCCTTGCCCTATAAAACCGCTTCATGGGCTTCTGTCTATCCTTAAAATACGCAAAACCACTAACTTACCTCTCCGACTTCAATGGCTTCCCCTCGCATTCTCTGTGCTCCAAGGACACAGATTATTTCTGTGTGTGTGACCCTCATAGGACATGCATGGTCTCTTGACCCAGGGCCTTTGCACGTGCTTTCCTGTCCAAGAAACCCTCTTTGCTTCACTCAGTTCTACTTAGCAACTCTCAGTTCCAACGGCATTTTCTTGTGGAAGCTCTCAGACCTTCGATCTCAGTCGGCCACACACACACACTCACTCACACTCACACTCGCGGAGTGCGCGCGCGGCGTGGCCAGCGCTGAGATCCACGAGAATCCGCTTCAGGGCCTCAAACAGCTCCGGGGACATGCGGGGCCACTCACCTTGATTGGACAGGCTGCCGCCGGCCGAGGCCGCGAGGCTACAGGCCGGAGGCCCGCGGCCAATGAGGCCTCCTCGGCCCACTCCGGCTCCTCGAACATCTGCGTGGTGCGGGGTGAGGCGGCGGGATGCCCGCGCCTCTCCACGTGCAGAGAGCGCCTCGGGGAACGCGAGCGCACGGAGCCGGAAACCAAGCGGTGAACGCGAGGGCGGCTAGAGCGGCCGGCGCGGCGCGGGAAAACCATCGAGTTCAGCCCTGGCGGGCTAGAAGGGCAAGGAGGCGGGAGGAAGGGAGGTCCGCGCGGGCAGCGGAGGGCCAGGGGCGGGGCGGGGCCGGGGCGGGCGCGGCCGGACGGGAGTTCCCCGAAGAAGGCTCCTCCAGCCCGAGTCCCGGTGAGTGCGGGAACACCCGTGCCCCCTCCCCAGGGCGCCCTCACCCCTCCCTCCGCCTAAGTTCCGAGTCGGAACGAGGGCCACCCCCGGGAAGGACCCCCGATCTCCTCCCCCAGGGAATAGGGCGCCCGAACTACCCCTCCTCCCCCCAGCTGTTAGCGGATTGGGTCCCTGTGCGCGCTCCCTGACATCCCTTCTGGAGATAGACTACCTCCCAGGCACCCCCTATCGCGCCTGGACGCGCCTCTCTCACGTCCGGGGACACACAGTTGGGGATCCTCCGTTGCCCCGAACTCCTTCCCAAACCTCCACTAACCGGGGACGCAGCACCGAGACCCCCATCCCCAACACGAACACTTCTGCACTTCAGGGCACAAAGTTTGGGGCTCACCCCGTTCCCTGGATCTCTCCACAGTCCCCAGGCTTCCCCAACCCAGGGGACTGAGCGCCGGGACGCTGCTATGGACGACATTTTCACTCAGTGCCGGGAAGGCAACGCGGTAGCCGTTCGCCTGTGGCTGGACAACACGGAGAACGACCTCAACCAGGGGTGAGCTGAGATGTCCGGTGGGTGCGAGGAAGGGCGGACGCCCTCCTCTCGGTGATGCGGGGTGCTCCTCTGGGGGGAGCGGCTGACTCCCCTGTCCAGTGTGATGAGTGCCAAGCACAGCCTGTGTGTGTGGGGGGGGGGGGAGGGCAGAGCAGAGGGGCTCCACAGAGGAAGCTGTGTTTGAGCTGAGCCTTGACTGCTGAGTACGAGTTGTATTGGCAGAGGCTGCAGAGCTTTCCAGCCTCGGGGAACTTCCTGGGCGAGGAGGCAAGACGGAGTGGAGAGCGGATAGGAAGCAGTGGGTGCAAGCGGAGAACCACAGGAGACCGGAAAGGTCTGCAAGGGTCAGCCAGGTCATGCGAGGATATTTGGGCTATAGTAAGGTCTCTGTTCTAAGGACAAGGGTCTAAAGCCATGGAGTGACACGAGATTGTCCATTTGTAAAGGGTCATCTTGGATGCTTTGGGAAGGCGGTGGCAAGGTGAAGAGAAGCAGTTGCCTGGTTCATCCCAGACTGGTGGCGGGCGGCTTAGGCTAGAGTGGATAGGCGAAAAAGAAAGATCAGATTCCCGAAATCTTTATGGTAAAGAATTGGTGAAAGCGTCAGGAGGAACACTTTGTAAAATATATGACTGTCTAACCACTATGCTGATACACCTGAAACAAATACAAAACAATATTGACTGTAATTGGAAAGACATTTTAAAAAAAAGAATAATAAACAAATAAATACATAAATAAAAAAGAATTGGTGAGACTTGGTGAGGGAAGTGAGTAAGGTCAAAGACAATGACGAGGGTTCTGGCTTGGGCCCTTGGGTAGGTGGTGGTTCCTTTAACTGAGATGGACAAGATTGAAGGATGATAAGCTCCACTCTAGACTTGTTAAAGTGACAGTAAGGGAAGTGGAAATGTTGAGCAAGTTGTTGGTCATGCAGATCTGGGTTTCAGGAGATGTGTCTGACTTGGAGACACAGATCTGGGAGATATTAGCATATAGATGGTATGTGAAGACATGGGTGTGAAGGAGAGGGGATGAGAAGCCTGCAGGACTTAAAAGGAACAACCGGAGGTTGAAGGAGAAACAGGAAAATTTGGTTAAGCTTAGAGAAGTGACTGTTTCAATGAAGGGGGAGTGATCAACATTAGTATAGGCTCCTGAGAGATCAAAGAATTTAAACACTTTACGGTACCCGTTGAATTTACAATTAATGATCTATCTGATGATCTCTGTGAGGGCTGTTGCAGAGGAAAACAGGTGAAGGATCCAGATTACACGGGGTTCCTTCATTTAAGGAACTGTACTAAATACAACCCCTCTGCTGGGCACTAGAGGTGGGGATTCAGACTCAATACCTCGAGGAGGGGCCTTGTGCCAGCTAGGTTGAATGAGAGATGTGGTTGGATAAGACTGGAAGACAAGAAAAGCAGTAGTGATGTTGACTCAGGATGATGGATTTCAATTCCATTTTAAAATTTAATTTTTTAAGGTTGGCAGAGTTTAGTTTTTAGGTTTGAGAGGCAAGAATCACCTGTCATCTTCATCCAGGCTCCCACTAGGCTCATTGGTTCCCATTAGGCTCTATACTACTTCTCCATAATGCGAAGTCACTTGTTCCGTCATTCATATAATTCCTTAAAGGGTGCTCTAATAAAGTCAGTGGGCACCGTTACTATTTTGTTGGTGGCGTTATAAAGGCTTAGGCGAAGTTGTCCAGTGGGGGTGGCACCCGGATAGACGCTGCTGCCCCAAAGTGAAGGGGTGGCAGTGAAACTGGAAGACTGTTGGTTTGAGGGGATAGGTTTTGAGGGCCCAAGGTGGCCACATGATGGATAGAGGTTGGGATGAATTCCCTGCAGGCCCCTCTGGGATTCAAGTCTTGGCCCTGAGGTCACTCTGCGGCTGACAGTGGGTAGAATCCTATCCATACTTTTGCTCTCAGGCTCAGGCCTGTTTGGGGGCCATAGACTGGGGTTGGGGTGGAGGGTGATAAGCCAAGGCATATATTAAAGTGCTGGGAAGTAAAACTGAGGGTGATAAGCAGGGGGTGGTAATTGCTTTGGGGAGGGGGAGGAGCCCCACCTCCCAGGAGAACTTTTGGCTGGGAGCTGATGAAAGCAGCTGCAGAAGGAAATCATTACGTTTAAGGCCACGCCCCCTCCCTCCCATGAGCTATCGGGGGCCTCTGGTTGGCCTGCGGTGGCCAGACCCCTGATCAGCTCCAGGCCGGGCCTAGAGCCCCCACAAGGAAGTGACCACAGCACTAAGGCATCCGGAGGCAGTCTGCCCAAACCACAGACCAACCCCAGCTCCGCCCCTTGGATCTGCCTCCGGGACTTGAGGGAATTTCCTTTTATGGCCCCAGGCTGTCAGGCAGGCCCTGCTCCCACCCAATTGTTTTGGTGTGTGTGTGTTTTTTTGTACAGTTCTTTTACTTTATAAAATATAGGTCCATGGGAAAAGAAAAAAGATAAGCAGTTTTCTTTCTACATGAAGCCACTCTGATTTTCTTGTTTTCTGGGCCCAGGATTGTTTGCATAAAGGAGTCCTGTTTTATGTGGTAGTTTGATAGCTGCCTCATCAGTAATGGCTTATCAAAAGCATTTCTCATTTTCATTATAAACCCTTCTAAAACTTTTTAAATTCCATTCCCCCCCCCCCCCCCATGAATTGTGGCATTCTTTCTCCACGACTCTGCACCCCCAACATGCACTGAATCCATTCTCTCAAGACAAACTCTCAAGAAGCTTACAATCTGGCAAGACTTGTAAAAATTCATGGATTTTTACAATCCAGTGTTATAAGTATTATAGTAGGGGGATGTACAAGGGGGAAACAGAAAGGTCCAACAGATGTTGCAAAAGGGATGCAGAGGATCCAGATAAAGAATGCTACCATTTAATGAAACAGGGCATGCCAGAGAAGGGCTGGAGGGAGATGTTGATGAAAACAGTGAATCTTAAGGACTTGTTGAGGGTTGCGTTTGAAGCTCAGGGGGAAGTCTGAATTGGACAGCTTTGGGAGCTGCTGATGTGAATGAGAATTAGAGTCCTGGAGAGGTAAGGTTGCCCGGGGTGAGTACACAGAGGGACTATATAAGGCCATTGCCCCCATTCCACCTCCAGATAAATGACCATTGCCTCTTCCTTCAAAGGGACGATCATGGCTTCTCCCCCTTGCACTGGGCTTGCCGAGAGGGCCGCTCTGCTGTGGTTGAGATGCTGATCATGCGGGGGGCACGAATCAATGTGATGAACCGTGGGGATGACACACCCTTGCACCTGGCAGCCAGTCATGGGCACCGTGATATTGTACAGAAGGTGTGTATGATCCCCTCCGTTCCCTACGTCAGTCACAGGCACTGTAACATACTGGGGAAAGTATGTGTACTCTTCTCCCTCCTCACCTGCCTCAACACCCCTCTCTGATTTGGGACTGACTGCGCTTTCTGCCTCTTCTGTTGTCTGGCCCTGGGAACCAGCTGCTGCAGTACAAAGCTGACATCAATGCAGTCAATGAGCATGGGAATGTGCCCCTGCACTATGCCTGTTTTTGGGGTCAAGATCAGGTGGCAGAGGTAAGTACTCAGCCCCTCAGCCCTGGGATGGGTGGGAAGTCTGAGCCTCAGTGGGAGATCTGGAGTCCTCACCCTATCCTGTGAGCACTGCAGAGTACAGGACACTCATAGGATTTGTACTGCATCTGATTGTTGTTGTGATTGCCAGGGAGGTGGCAGGGGCCATGATCACAACCACCTTTTCATTCCAGGACCTGGTGGCTAATGGGGCCCTTGTCAGCATCTGCAACAAATATGGAGAAATGCCTGTGGACAAAGCCAAGGCACCCCTGAGAGAGCTGCTTCGAGGTCCGTCCCCCAACCCCCAGCTGTGTCCTCGTGTCTTGTCCCTGCCTGTCTCCTCAGCTGAGGCCAAGACTGTTTGTCTTTCTTCCCCAGAGCGGGCAGAGAAGATGGGCCAGAATCTCAACCGTATTCCATACAAGGACACATTCTGGAAGGGGACCACCCGCACTCGGCCCAGTGAGTCAGTTGTGAGGGAAGGGGTGGTAATAGGGAATAATCCTGGGTTTCTCCAGCTGGGTACCTGACCTGCTCACTCTCTCAGGGAATGGGACTCTGAACAAACACTCCGGCATTGACTTCAAACAACTCCACTTCATTGCACAGATCAACCAGAATCACTCTGGAGAGGTGACCCCTGCCTTTCATGCCCCTCCCTCCCCAATTACATGATTTGCACCTCCTTTTAAGTTTCTTCTCGTTAGTGGGCTTGAAAGTTAAAGCCTCCTAACCCTTACCTGTCCCTCAGCTATGGAAGGGCCGCTGGCAGGGCAATGACATTGTCATGAAGGTGCTGAAGGTTCGAGACTGGAGTACAAGGAAAAGCAGGGACTTCAACGAGGAGTGTCCCCGGCTCAGGTGGGGAAAGCCTAAATTGGAAGCTACTGCTTCCAAGGAACCTGACTTAACACCCAAGATGTTTTACTCTTGTTCTTAGCCAGGGACACTCTCTTCCTCTCCCAGGATTTTCTCGCATCCGAATGTGCTCCCAGTGCTAGGTTTCTGTCATGCTCCACCTGCTCCTCACCCGACTCTCATCACACACTTGATGCCACATGGATCCTTGTACAACATACTACATGAAGGCACCAGTGAGTAGGGGATGCCAGATCTCACTGAAGGGAGGTATGTGAGCCTCTCCAAGCTATTTGACTCTTGCCTCCTCTCCTAGATCTTGTTGTGGACCAGAGTCAGGCTGTGAAGTTTGCACTGGACATGGCAAGGGGCATGGCCTTCCTACACACACTAGAGCCCCTCATCCCACGACATGCACTCAACAGCCGAAGTGTAATGGTGAGGTTACAACTTCACTCCTGGCTCAGTCCCCAGACCTTTCCCTATCTAGTAACCTTCTCTTCCTCAGATTGATGAGGACATGACCGCCCGCATCAGCATGGCTGACGTCAAGTTCTCTTTCCAATGCCCTGGGCGCATGTATGCACCTGCCTGGGTGGCCCCTGAAGGTGAGGTTATGTGGGAGATAGAGAAGGGCAGCTCAGTAGCAGTGGAGGGGGGCAGAGACAGGACTGGATAGGCAGCTGGAACAGATAAGTATTATCCTCCAGCTCTGCAGAAGAAGCCTGAAGACACAAACAGACGCTCAGCAGACATGTGGAGTTTTGCAGTGCTTCTATGGGAACTGGTGACACGCGAAGTACCCTTTGCTGACCTCTCCAACATGGAGATTGGAATGAAGGTGAGAGCACGTGTTGGGGCAGTGACGGTAGTAGTGACCATTGTAGAGGGCTGGGCTTTTCCCACAGTTGTTCAAATATATAGTCATCCTGTCCTGATGGCTGGAGCCTCTCGCTACATAGGATTCATGTTCTGAGACCCACTTTGTTTTTCCCTGCATTTACAGGTGGCACTGGAAGGCCTTCGGCCTACCATCCCACCAGGCATTTCTCCCCATGTGTGTAAGCTCATGAAGATCTGCATGAATGAAGACCCTGCTAAGCGGCCCAAGTTTGACATGATCGTGCCTATCCTGGAGAAGATGCAGGACAAGTAGGGCTGGAAAGTCCTTACCTAAACTTAGAAGTGTGGGACACAAGTAGGGAATGCACCGCCCAAAGCAGCAGGCCTCTGTGCTCCCCTGCCTCAGTCATGGTACTACCCAGCCATGG